GGTGGCTCTGACTTCCGAGTTTCGAATGTCAGCAGCCCTTCTCAACCAAATCCACTTGCACTAGTGAACTTCGAAGTTGCTGGGCAACCTTGGCACAGAGCAAACGAGGGTAGGGTTGTGCGACATGTGTTTTCCAGCGTCCAGACTCATCTTGGCCTGAAAGCGTCACGTGGCGCTTGCCCGAGTGTTGGCAGCGACCTGCAGAGGGTCGGCAGGTCACTGCACAAGTCTGGAGCAGAGGGAAACCCCATTCCAACAACCCTGTAGCCTTCCGCCAAGGGGTGCCAAAACAGCAAAAATGAGTTTCATGTAATCGTGCACCAAAAGTTTGCAAGGACTGTGCTTGCGGTGTGAGCCAAATCCTGGAGGTATAGGGGTTTTCCAGAACCCAGGGAATAGACATGTGGCAAGCCAGGTCAATGTAAAATTTTGAAGTGTACAACAGCTCATTTCCCAAAGCAACTTTTGTACGGTCGTGAGGACGTAGATTGCTGAAACCCCAAAGATTGTCTGTATCATCCCTCAGTGGTGGCGGGCCTCCATCCAACCGCCTGGCCCGAGACCAGGAGGTGCAGGGTGTGCCAAGCCAAATCAGAGCAATGCGAGAGCGATGTTTTTTGATGAACCGTGTCAAGTCTGTTCGGACCCGTGCATTCAGGAGGTCACATCCCAAACCATAGTCAATGTCATAGGCAATGGCTGTAAAACCCTGGGCAGCCATGGCCTCCGACATGCGTGCACAGCCTGAAAACAATTCAAGAAACAGCTTTCCATTGCTCAATGTCACGGGAGGGTGAAAAATTTTGGGCCCAGCTTTCTCATCTGTTCTTCCAACTGCAAAACAAGCTTTTGTGTCGCCTGAGGCAGGCGATGATATTCCTGATTTAGACGACCATGCTGCTCGTAGCGTCGAAGGCTTGCGTCCGCGGCCCAACGGCCTCTGGCCTTGATCTCCATCAAGGATCGTAGGCGGTGACACCGATCGAATGATGGGCCGGAATGCCGCAGCTGATGAAGGACTGCATGGTTGTGTTCCAATCCCACATCGACTAGTGCTTGCTTCCAAGCACTCACCATCTCTGTGTAGCCCAGGTCGAAAAGAAAAGGACCTGGAGTCTGCAGCCTGTCCAATGCGAGTCCCAGCCATGGCACCTGCATCGCATCCAGTTGGATGGACTCCTCTGAGATTCCAACTTTTGAGGCCTCGTGTCGTTCGGCAGGATGTAGGTGCAATGTATGAAACTCCTGTTTCGGCATCGGCTTCACCAGGTCCACCTTGTGGATGGCCAGGCACTCTCCTGGCCTCAGGTAGGCAGTGAACATCGTCAGAGTGGCCAGTGCCGGATGCATTCGGCCTCGCTTTCTCATCTTCATGGCTATGCTCGCCACCAGTTCCCAAGGAAGTGGTGGGCGAGTCTTCTGTGGATCGACTTTTCCCCAACCCTGTAGTGCACGAACCATCCGGGGCAACATGCCCTTGGGGCCATAATCGGGGAATGCGTCTTTCACAGCTGCCACAAACTTTGAGCCTTCGTGGAACTCGACGCCCTGCTCGAAGATGTCGTTGAGATACCTGGTGCAGGCCTCGTCCAATTTCTTGGGGCCCTTCAACGGCAGCTTCTGCATCTTCGAAAATCGTCTCAAGTCCTCTATTCTCCTTGTGTAGTCCCGCGCCACGGCCTCCGAGACCGCCAATCGCTCCAGATTCGTTTGACCTTTGAAGCGAGGTGGATCTGTTCTCTGGGCCACCACATGAGCTCGAGTTTTTGCCTTTTCTGCTGGCTTCTTGTCGAAATGGGTCATCTTGACCTTGCCTCTCTTCTTCTGGGGGCAAGGGACTGAGTGCAACCTGTCGAAGGTCTTGTTGGCTAAATCGGGAAGGGTAGCACTGCTGGTCAATCCTCTGAAGCTCCTGCCTCTCACGGGTTCGGCCAGCAGCATGCCGCTTTCGAAGGTGCTCCCACCTCCGAGAGCCTTTGTCAGCCACGTTCAGCTCAGACGGAATCCAGCGAGTGGATAGGAAAGAGTCAGTACATAGCAGCAACGCACCCAGTCTTCTACACACCTTCAACATCGGGAAGGCGCTCGAGCGTCCTTTACAAATCATCAACACCATGCTCATGTTGTCTCCAAAGTGCAAATGTCGTTTTCCAAAATGCTGAACTGACCGAAACTTGTGCCTAAGTGAAAACACCACTCCTCTGGCCTCAAGCAACGTGATGTGCTCAGCATGTTTCATGTGCACTGCGAAAGCTTCGTGCCAGTGGTTCTGCTGCATCACTTCGGGGGGAACTTCCAGAAATTTCTCGTTGAGCTCAAACGGGTCAACTTCAGTCAACTCAGATCGAAGAGGCTTAACAGTTGAGATGTCTGAAAAAGGGTCCCCCCTATGCAGTGCAGCTTCACGGGGCGGAGGAAGCTCCCTGTACTTATATCGCCAGGGCTCTCTCTGTGCACCTAAGCGGGCTACCTCCTCACAAGGCAGCTCACGTGCGCACACCGCAATGCCTGACAACGAAGCATCACTACTGGTCACCTTCTCACTCCAGGTCCTCTTGAGATCAACACTGCATAATCCCAAAAGACTGGAGGCCCACCGAGCTTCTCTTGCTGCTGATGGAAATAAAACGCTCTTGTAATGATAACTCTATTGAACAAAATCGTATAAAGATCGGAAGATTGACAAAAGCTCACGTCGAAGAAGCATGAAGTGAATACAATGTCCCAACAGTCGCTCGACTTGTTTCCCAGATACCCATGGTCGCCTGGCCAGCCAGTTCAAAGCCAGCCTCACCTTCTGCAGCCTTTCGGGAATTGGAGTGACAATGCCTTTCTGTCCATCCACTAGGCAACCAAGACTCTGGCCAATGGGACATGCTTCAAGCTCTTCATGCACTCTAAAGCCAATTTCTCGGAGCCTCCGTACGATCTTGTCCTTCACCTCTTGAACTCGAAGCTCATCCACGCCTGCAACGTTCAGGTTGTCGGCATAGGGGATCAAAATCACTTCTTTGTCTGAAAGGTCTGGTGGGGCCTTGCTCTCAACGACGACCCGATCAATGCTAAGGCCTCCAGCCTCAATGCACAGGTGTGTATGGACACGTTGGGCAACCCACATAGCCCAGCTCCAACCCATAGGAATAACCCTGAGCATCGGAAAAGTCCAGCCTTCTGCATCACAATCAACTGTTGCCATATCGATGTTCCAGTCCTGCAAGGCCGACTTGGCGAGGGCCGGTAGGCAAAACAGGCTTTGCAACTCTGATGGCAATGCAAGGCTGTAAAAGTAGTCCTTGATGTCGGATTGAGCCAAATACAAAGTGGAGCCTTCTGGGATAGCCACCTGTGCCCATGAAGTACCCGCGCCCAAGGCTAGAGGAGGAGGTTTCTTAAAGCGTTTGTTCACAGCCCGACAGTCAAGGATAAGGCGCAGTCGACCATTCTTCTTTTTGACGAAGAACGGGGGTGCAATTTCCCTTGGCCTCGAAGTGAAAGAGATCATCCCTTTGTCAAAAAGATCCTGAACGAAGGAGACATACAGCTTTTGATCTTTTTGCAACCTTTCATCCATGTAAGGTCTCACCAAATCTCCCTCTTCCAAGACTT